ATTGTTTTCAGATAAATTCCTGCACTTGATGCATTACCGTCTCACATTCACATCAAACCGAGTTTTTCACATGCTGAAAATTTTAAACGATTTTTACTTTCAAAAATGAATATGATAAATTCTACAATAATGAATACTCATGGTATTTTGGAAAGAGGTATAAGTTAGGTATTGTCTATTAAAAATTCCAAAATCAAAGACCTCTACTTATGGTATATGTCATAGAGACATTCATAACCAGAACAGACAATATCATCTGAACAATAAATGTTCATATAAACAGTACTTCAACCGAGTTGGTACTATCTTACTTAGTTTACGTCATAATGCTGTAACTGGATAGCTAGAATTATCTTCTTTTTTATCAGGCAAAACAGTACTATTTAGTAACTACAACCCCCTTCCCTTTTTACGAATGTGTCCTACCGAATTATACTATTTACCGGATTTGTAATAACATAAGTAACACGACGGGTGCCACATGTGGAGCAGGATCTGCTTACCCTCCCAGAGCACCTAAGATCACCTCCGGTTTTTGGTGGGGTTCGTGCTGCTTAGTTTTTAGTTTTCTATGTTGTGTCTTGTGTACTATTATTTGTCTGTTTGTCTTTTTATTTTTTAGCCATGGCGTTGTCAGTTTATTTTCAATCTATGAGTTTGACTGTCCCTCTTGTATCTTTTGCCCCTCTTTTAGCTCTTACTTTCCTGCAGTATTCGTTAAAGAAATGTACACCCGAAAGCTTATTTCATATATGAAGTACATCACATTTATTATGAATTATTGAATTTGCCTAGGTTAAAGATTTTATAATACCCCGAGTAGTATATGCCCATTTCCTACGTTTTCTATGTCAATATCGGCTGAACAATACTACAGATTGTCAGGAATCAATCCGGGATTATTAATTGACTTAGGAGAAGGAGATTTGTCCATCGAAGCTATGTCTTTTGCCATTCTGGGTATAGCATTTCAGTTGAATGGCGATGTAGAATCAGCGAGACAGTCTTATGTACAATCTATAGAAATTGCACCAGATTCTGATTTAAATTTTTCATTTGAGAAATTAGCATCTATTGACATAATATAGATGTACAAAAATATCTATTAATAACTAATATGACAGTGTTTTTTCTGATTGTGTTTTTTTCTTATTATTTCCCTTCAGGATTGGAGTATTAGTGCACCAACTTGATTTGTTTAGTTCCTGACAGACATTTTTTTCTTTTTTATTTGGCATTATTAATAAGGGTCTTTAGATTTTTCGTAAATCACACATATATAAGGGATCTCAATTTCAAAAGTTGCAGATGGAAAAATGAGATTATCGAAGACAAATTTACATTCATTGAGACTTTTCACTTACAAAATGCACAACACTGCACACAAACCATACGCTATGGTGAAATTAACACTTTGGGTTTATTGTCCTTCGAATATGCAGAATTCCCTGTTGTATTTGTGGGTGATTGTTAAATAACTACTCATCGTTAATTTGTGAACTTATTTATTCAATAACCATGATTAAGAAGTGCTGGAAGTAATTTATAAACGACACAAAACTTCATTTACATCACCAGTAATTAATTAGTTGGATATGATCGACTGTTCGAAAGACGCTGCCCCACATGCATATTGACCTCATTTTTCGTTTGAAAGAAACTATCGTGCGCTAACGCGAGAGTGAATGACATTTTTCATAGATACATGTTTGAATGAACGTAGTCGAGTTATTCTTTATCGGATTTTTTTTTATGAAAATATCAATTATCTTACTATCTTTTCACTTCCTTATGTTCAATTATATAGTCTCATAATAAATCAGTAAATTTGTTAACTTAAGATGAATCGTATTAATCAGATGTTAAGAGCGTACTTTGCTGGAATGGTATAAGTGAAATAAGTATACGAGTTTATCGATACGGTAAAGCGATGTACATACTATAAGTTTTGTAACTCGTAAACTTGCGGAAACAGTTTTACTTTTTTGCTTAATGAATAACATATAAAAATTTAAATATTGCTATGATTACTTAGAAGTCACTCCACTTTTTAATGAACTTTCGAAGGGTGTGTTAAATTGCAGAGACTGAAGACAAGGAAAAATAACTTTCAAGTTTTTGATATTTACACACATTTATACGGAAGCGTATTAGCGCCACACAACTTTTTTTTTCAATATTTCTTCCTATGTTTGCGTTACAACGCAAACCTTTGCGAAATAACTCAAACCTTTTCGTTATAACGCAAACATTTGCAAAATAACGCAAACATTTTTTTATCTTATTTCTTATTTAAAATTCAAAGGAAGCAGCTGTTATAAATGGAGGAGGCTGCATACATTAAAATGTATCCTTCTTTGTATTCATAACAAAGAAAAATGCTTGAATATTTAGAACATATCATTGACTAATAATGAGTAGGATAATAGATATAAGAAGATGTGGTATAAATGGCAATGAGACAACTCTCCATCCAAGTCACAATTTCTAAAATCAAACCATCTAATATAGGTCAAAGTATGGTCTTCAACACGGAGCCTTGGTTCACACCGAACAGCAAGCTGTACAGGGCCCCATAAATTATATATATACATGATAATACATGTATATATATTACAAAGAAAATTGAGTAAATTGAAGTCGTATCGAAGAATATAAAAAATAAACCCTGCTAATATAGCTATAGCCAAATATAAATATACTTCCAAAGTAAGCTCTCGTTTGAGGATTGTGTAAGGTTGGTTAGATCCAAACAAACTACCTTATTGCAATAAAATGAAGATGTTTTTTTATTAAAATTATGTTCTCTACATTTAAATTGCAACCGAAGTATCTTAAAATTACTTCATTATATTGAAATGAAATCGGAAAGGTTTGCGTTATTTCGCAAATGTTTGCGCTATATCGCAAACATAGGAAGATATATTAAAAAAAAAAGTTGTGTGGCGCTATTTAGCTTCCGTACATTTAATTGGTTTAAACACGTATATTTAATTGCATTACCAATTCTCGAGAAGAATGTTAAAATAATATTGTAATAGATATGGACTTGCAATACAAGAATTGAACCTCAGGTGTATTTGTATGCACGTTACCAATGATTGACTCTATTGTGATAGTTGCCTCGTGTAATAATCAGGGTAAGGTAATGTCAAATCAAGATGCTGGAATTGTTACACTACGGAGGCAACATAACTAATAAGACAACATTATTAGACTTATAATGTTAATACGATGGTAAAAATTTATTTAATCAATGATATAAAATCAAATAGACCTCATATGAAAGACACACATTCTTAATCTGTCTATTAAGAAAAAAATCATATCAGAATCACATGTCTATCTGCTATGCATGAAGGTCGTGTTGTTTGGTAATTAGATAGCGTTCAGTTTTAACAAAACGGACGAGATGTTGATTAATGATTTATTCATTATTTATCATTTTCAGCTGATCTTTTAATATTTAATTCTGGTGTATATTGTACATATACCATAAAAGGCCGGATCTATTACCACAAAACATTTTCATTTTTCAATTCTGATATGAAACTAAGCTGTAAAATGGCAGTAAGGAAGTAGTTGCTCCACTCAGCTTCATTTGGATCATGTTTGATAGTTGTCAAAAATAATACACCACCGTATAATATATTAGTATTTAAAAAAACAATAATTGTACGGCTGTAATACCCGTGAATAGAGTCACATTCCAACATCAACCTATATCTAAATTAAAATTTCATTGATCTGTTTAATACAAACAAAGATAGATAATGAGGAGATCCTCGTTATCAAGGTAAATAAATTAGAAATTAATACAAAAATGGCAGGTAATGTATAATTATTTATACATTTATATTCTTCATTTTTTATTTCAAACTACTTCAAATTCAGTTCTTTTACAGTTTCAATTAAATTCAGTTAAAACTAGTTTTCAATATAAAAACAAATTGGTGATATGATAAGTCTATGATATGAATCGAATTTTAGTTGGTTGATAAAAGTGGGCGTTTGATTACTTGAATTGTCTTCTCATCGTGATACTTTTATTGTATCTGATGTACAATTTACAAAATATTCCGTTTAAAAAAATTTCGAATAAAACAATGGGTGATATGATTAGTATACAATATTAATTGAGTCTAACGTGGTTGATACAAGTGGGCGTATGGTTACTTGTATCGCCAGCTCATTGTGATACTTTTATTGTATCTTTTGTACAGTTAGTTCGAACGGAAAATCACAAAATAAATGCATTTGAAGATGTTTGAAATCATATCAGTGAATAGATATATATTATTTATATGTTTTTAAAACAATCATTTAGATATTCTATATTTCTTTTCTTTATTTGCAACAATATCCTCATAAGTAAATGTTTTAGATTTTATTTACTTATTATTTAATTGAATACAGATTTATCTATTGTTTATATACATACCTACATTTTCATTTCAAAACAAACACTTTTACATTTTTATAGAATCAGCTAAACAAAATCAATCAATGATTCTGTACGATTATCTATGTCAGAATATTGTCGGAACAGAAGAGCATGTAAAAATAATCAGAATGACAAACGCTGTCAGAGACAATCTACAAAGCGACAAAATTGCAACAGTAATCACTAGTGGAAGTTTTGGTGATGGACTTGAGATGCAAGGTAGTGATGTAGATGTTATGCAGGTTATGAAAGATGTTGAGGTTTGTGAAGACACAAACATTGATGTCAACATGTTCAATGCTGAGAAATATATCTAACCATGGAAACGGAAGATACAAAGCCAGGTTTCACTAAGTTACGTATAGTGCACAGTAATGACGAGAGTATCTTTGAAATTTGTAAAGAGACAGGAGGCGAATATTATGTGCTAAGCTCTTTATTCAAACACTTATTCGTGTCATATTCAAACAAAATATTTCCGATTATACTTGGACCATGTCTATCAGACAAAGATGGTTTATTTGACTTTGCATACTGTTTACATAGTAAAGTATGGGTGAAAGAAGCAAAACGATGGAAAACACGATCAAAAAATGTCTGGCCAGGATACGATGTTAAACATGCTATTGTTAAACACGGGGTTCTTTTTGTACCGGTTGGTGTGAAAGAATCTAAAAACGAAGAGTTAGAATGGCGCTTATCATTTTATGTTGCAGAAAAACTTCTTATTTTTCATTTACACACACACAATTGCTATGTTATGCTCTTTTGAAAATTGTTCTCAAAGACGTTATAGCTTTAGACGTATATTGCAAAGAATTACTTTGTTCATATTTCATGAAAACAATTATGTTTTGGATGTCGGAGGAACTACCATTATCAATATGGAAGCCAGAAAACCTGATATCATGTTTTATGAGATGTTTCAGAAGGCTTATCTATTATGTAGAATACTCGGTTTGTCCGCATTATATCATTCCTGAGAATAATTTATTTGAGAATAAGATAAAAGACCACGCACAGGAAATGCTTTTTAACAAATTGATTTGTCTTAATAATTATGGTTGGCAATGTATCTTAAAATCAGACCAAATCTCGATTAACAATGAACCACGTTGTTTACATGTCTACAGTGTTAAACACTTATTATCTCCGGTTATTGATGCGGCAGCCAATTTACTGTCAAAACGTAAATTACGAATGGAAAAAGCCATACATTTGGTACTGTCTATGAAGAGTTCCAAAATCAAATACCTTTACACGCACTACATATCAAAATATTGTCTGAATGGTCACAACTTACTCCCGTTTGATGATATATACGGTAATAAATCTACTTATAAGCAATGCAAAACATATACGTGTACTCTGCTACTGAATACACGTCATGATGCTGTATCTGGATGGCTGTTGATAGCTTCGCTTTTCTATAGGACAAAACAACACAATAAAGCTCTTGTCATCCTTCGGTATTCGCTGTTCAAATGTACAACAGAAAAAATTTACACAGACATGAATTTGTCTCATGTTAATTTTGAACTATTCAATTTGAATGTATTTAGGAAGATGCCAATCGTGCAGATGGAGAAATTGTTGTTGCTAAATCATGTGGATTTTTTTCCTCGCTCGACGTTAATACCGGGTGAATTACAAATGGAAGTAGACAGATCTAACTTTTGTATACCCCCAGTTATATATGTTCATTTCCTTTCTGTTCTATGTCATTGGCATCTGAACAATACAAAAGATTGTTTTGATTCTCTCAAAGATTTACAGTTGACCGTACGAAAGGAATATTGAATGGCGAATGACTTTCAAAAAGCTATATCTTACAATATCCTAGGTATCGCTTTTCAATTAGTAGGAAACAAAGAATCAGCGAGAATAGCATTCACACATTCTATGAAATTAACATCAGATCCAGATTTAAATAGTGCGTCAAAGAGATTGGCATTGATTGGATAAACGTATGTATGATAATGTCTACAGAGTAAAATTTCTTTTTTCAAGTGATTGTCAAGTTTTATTAAATCATTCTGCTTGTTTAATTTCAGTTTTATATTATCATATTTACAATTATTGGTATTTTTTCTTCTATTCGTCTCTAACATACTGGTAAGGAAAACAAATAATACTATGTTGAGTTTATATGTATCAAAGTGTCTTGAAGATTCGTCAGTTGGAATGAATGGACATAACAAATCTGAACCAACGTTATTTCAGATAGTTGGACACTACAATTCGTCAGTAAATGAAAGAAAGCCAACGCCGTGAAGAAAAGAAAAAACAAAATAAAACGGCAAATAAGAAGAATAAACACTCGTATATTGCCGTTCCCTATTACTTTGCATTACAGATTTCAAAGTCGTATTAATTTGGTATGGGAGTTAAACAAGAAATGTTCGAATTTTTTCCTAATTTGCCAAGTTGTAGTATATGTTGTGAAAAATTCACAAATATAATAAAATTATAGGTCATTGTACTTTTCTTTCAAGTCAGAGGTTGTGAAAAATATCCCATTTTGTAAGGATTATACAGGGAAAATGTATTATAATGAAAATAGAAGGTAAACTTTGTGATAGAATTTTGAAAAAAAATATGAGAACATACCTCTAATGAAATGCTTTCAGAATACTAAAAGAGAAAATTGGTTCTCCGTACGTTTTTTTTTCTTCCTTTTTATAGCATGAAATACTACCAATTCCTGTAAAAAGTAAAATCACAAAAATACCGAACTCCGAGGAAAATTCAATCGGAAAGTCCCTAATCACATGGAAAAATCAAATGACAAAACACATCAAACGAATGGACAACAACTGTCATATTCCTGACTTGGTACAGACATTTTCAAATGTAGAAAATAGTGGAATAAACCTGGTTTTATAGCGCTAAACCTCTCACTTGTACGACAGTCTCATCACATTCCGTTATATTTACAACGATGCGTGAACAAAAAAGACATTATAAATAAAATAGTCAAAATATGGATACAGCAGTCATCACTGTGTTACAATATCAAAACAAACAATTATTTTCAAAAAAGCATTAAAGCATCTATCAAATTAAAAACCATATGCATTGCTTCGCGTGTCTGACGTCAGCAAATGTAAACGTCACATAAGAAGAAATTTTGTCATTCAATGTTTATTCAAAACAATTTTATAATTTCACATGGGGAATGTTGGTATACAGGGTTAAAAAATCTAAAGTTATGTTAGAATTAATTTCAGAAATAGACCGAGATTTAAAATTGTCCAGCAGTTCTTTAGAATTTTTAAGAATCCACATACGCGAGTAAAATAAATTTGTTGTTATATTTTTTTCGTTTATAAATCACACATGAGCAACATGCTTTATACGCAAATTAAAATAAAAACATGAAGTCTCCTTTTTATATGCGAGTTCGTGGTCTAGTGGTTAAGACCGATGGCTACAGTGCTGAAGGTCCCGAGTTCAATTCTGACTCGGGGTGCTAACAATATCAGTGCATCAGTTTTCACCCTCTCACACACATCTCTGGTACCCAGACCTGAGTTTAAACTAGAATGGGTACTTTGGGGCCTCGGTTGGTCAAAGTTGCTCCCGACTTTGACCTGGAGATCAATCTGCTGATATCTCTTCGGTTTGTCTGTTCCCGCCGAGCAGCCCGGTGGTTCTCGCCGAGTAATTCGGCTTCCTCCACCATAATAATGGATTCCGCCCGGTGTCCTAACATACCCTCGTGTTGGGGTGGGGATTGTCTTGTGTTTTTTCATGAATTTTGTTATCCATTTATCTGACGGCCCAATTTTAAGATTGAAAAGCGTTTTCCTTCAATTTTTTTCACAATTTCTATAACAAATCTTTTCAAGCTATGGCGAGATAAGGGAAGACCACGAACTGCCATATACTCAATATAATGTATCAAGCTTTCTTTTTTTTACGACTTCTATTGTGTTGTTGGAGAATTATACATATTTCTTACAGTAGTATCATACCTGATATAATGTAATTTTTTCAAGTAGTCAATAATTTGAAGTTATGATAAAACGACAAATTTTATTTTGCTTCAAGTGTAGTATAATCAAGTGTAGAGTAACAAAACACAGTTATCCGCTTTGAAATAAAAGAATGATATAATTGTGTATATGTGTACCTTCGTTTTTCTTCATATTAAGTGCATTTACTTCATAGTAAGTCGTGTCCTCTGAATTTAGTAATATATGTGAACCTTTGCTTGCATGTTTTCTAGCAACTTAATCGTGTCTTCATTCTTTACCAGTCATACTTAAATGATACAGTTTAAATATCGCAATGTCCGTTTTATACGCAAATGCAAAGACTAAAGGATATTTGTACTGCTACACTTACTCCATCTCAAAATCTTCTTCGAGTATGTTCTAATTCATCAATTATTAAAAACATAACAACTTTTTCATACTTGTATTGCGCAATTATTTAACTACACATTAAAGCGAAATGTTCATTAAAGCAATATGAGTTTTTAACAATATGCTAGTTCATAGAACATATTTAACATTGTAATTGACCGGCTTTGTATACGACTAATCGTCCTTTAATTATTCATGTCTCAATTGCTCTACAGAGGCCGCAACACAAATTTTATCAATAGCTCTATATTGGTATATGTGTCAGAATATTGTTGGAATAGAAAAGCACGTAAGAACAATAAGAATGATAAACACTGCCAGAGAATATATATCAGGCGACAAGACATTCACAATGATCGCTAGTGGAAGTTTTTGGGAGGGACTTGAGATGCGAGGGAGTGACTTAGATATCATGTGTGTTCTTACAAATGTAGAGGTTTGTGAAGACGCAAATACATATTTGAAACCCGGTAAAACGTATTTCACAATGGCAACAGTCCGTTCTTAAAAGAAAACAATCAAACTATAGGAGATTGTTTCTATTGTTCAAGCACAAAATATAAGCAAAGTTTCTTAAGCAAATGTTTCCACGCTATTAATGGCCCGTGTTTATCTGACAAATTTGGATTGTTTGACTTTGCATGGTGCTTACGTTAAAAATTATGGATAACACCAACATGGCAATGGATGACACGATCAAATAACACTTTGCCGCCCTTTGGTGTGAAACTGTCTATTATAAAACACGGCGTACTTTTTGTAAAAGTAATAAAAGGATCCACAAAAGAAAATTTAGAATAGCGTGTGTCATTCTCTGTCGGAGAAAAAATTCTTGTATACACATTCACACATACACAATCACTGTGTTATGCCTTAATGAAAATTCTGCTGAAAGACGTTATAGACATCGCCTTGAATTGTAAGATTTGCTGTGTTCGTATTTCCTGAAAACAGTCTTGTTTTGGGTATCTGAGGAATTACCTACGTCAATATGGAAACCCGATGGGTTCATTTTCTGTTTTATAAGATATTTTAGGAGACTTATGTATTGTGTTCAGTACTCCATGTATCCACAATACCTTATTGCTGACAACAATTTGTTTGAGAACAAAATGACAGGAGAATCATAGGAAATAATATTAAATCAGCTATGTGTTCTAAATAGTTTTGGTTGGAAATATTTTATTGTTTTCAGATAAATTCCTGCACTTGATGCATTACCGTCTCACATTCACATCAAACCGAGTTTTTCACATGCTGAAAATTTTAAACGATTTTTACTTTCAAAAATGAATATGATAAATTCTACAATAATGAATACTCATGGTATTTTGGAAAGAGGTATAAGTTAGGTATTGTCTATTAAAAATTCCAAAATCAAAGACCTCTACTTATGGTATATGTCATAGAGACATTCATAACCAGAACAGACAATATCATCTGAACAATAAATGTTCATATAAACAGTACTTCAACCGAGTTGGTACTATCTTACTTAGTTTACGTCATAATGCTGTAACTGGATAGCTAGAATTATCTTCTTTTTTATCAGGCAAAACAGTACTATTTAGTAACTACAACCCCCTTCCCTTTTTACGAATGTGTCCTACCGAATTATACTATTTACCGGATTTGTAATAACATAAGTAACACGACGGGTGCCACATGTGGAGCAGGATCTGCTTACCCTCCCAGAGCACCTAAGATCACCTCCGGTTTTTGGTGGGGTTCGTGCTGCTTAGTTTTTAGTTTTCTATGTTGTGTCTTGTGTACTATTATTTGTCTGTTTGTCTTTTTATTTTTTAGCCATGGCGTTGTCAGTTTATTTTCAATCTATGAGTTTGACTGTCCCTCTTGTATCTTTTGCCCCTCTTTTAGCTCTTACTTTCCTGCAGTATTCGTTAAAGAAATGTACACCCGAAAGCTTATTTCATATATGAAGTACATCACATTTATTATGAATTATTGAATTTGCCTAGGTTAAAGATTTTATAATACCCCGAGTAGTATATGCCCATTTCCTACGTTTTCTATGTCAATATCGGCTGAACAATACTACAGATTGTCAGGAATCAATCCGGGATTATTAATTGACTTAGGAGAAGGAGATTTGTCCATCGAAGCTATGTCTTTTGCCATTCTGGGTATAGCATTTCAGTTGAATGGCGATGTAGAATCAGCGAGACAGTCTTATGTACAATCTATAGAAATTGCACCAGATTCTGATTTAAATTTTTCATTTGAGAAATTAGCATCTATTGACATAATATAGATGTACAAAAATATCTATTAATAACTAATATGACAGTGTTTTTTCTGATTGTGTTTTTTTCTTATTATTTCCCTTCAGGATTGGAGTATTAGTGCACCAACTTGATTTGTTTAGTTCCTGACAGACATTTTTTTCTTTTTTATTTGGCATTATTAATAAGGGTCTTTAGATTTTTCGTAAATCACACATATATAAGGGATCTCAATTTCAAAAGTTGCAGATGGAAAAATGAGATTATCGAAGACAAATTTACATTCATTGAGACTTTTCACTTACAAAATGCACAACACTGCACACAAACCATACGCTATGGTGAAATTAACACTTTGGGTTTATTGTCCTTCGAATATGCAGAATTCCCTGTTGTATTTGTGGGTGATTGTTAAATAACTACTCATCGTTAATTTGTGAACTTATTTATTCAATAACCATGATTAAGAAGTGCTGGAAGTAATTTATAAACGACACAAAACTTCATTTACATCACCAGTAATTAATTAGTTGGATATGATCGACTGTTCGAAAGACGCTGCCCCACATGCATATTGACCTCATTTTTCGTTTGAAAGAAACTATCGTGCGCTAACGCGAGAGTGAATGACATTTTTCATAGATACATGTTTGAATGAACGTAGTCGAGTTATTCTTTATCGGATTTTTTTTTATGAAAATATCAATTATCTTACTATCTTTTCACTTCCTTATGTTCAATTATATAGTCTCATAATAAATCAGTAAATTTGTTAACTTAAGATGAATCGTATTAATCAGATGTTAAGAGCGTACTTTGCTGGAATGGTATAAGTGAAATAAGTATACGAGTTTATCGATACGGTAAAGCGATGTACATACTATAAGTTTTGTAACTCGTAAACTTGCGGAAACAGTTTTACTTTTTTGCTTAATGAATAACATATAAAAATTTAAATATTGCTATGATTACTTAGAAGTCACTCCACTTTTTAATGAACTTTCGAAGGGTGTGTTAAATTGCAGAGACTGAAGACAAGGAAAAATAACTTTCAAGTTTTTGATATTTACACACATTTATACGGAAGCGTATTAGCGCCACACAACTTTTTTTTTCAATATTTCTTCCTATGTTTGCGTTACAACGCAAACCTTTGCGAAATAACTCAAACCTTTTCGTTATAACGCAAACATTTGCAAAATAACGCAAACATTTTTTTATCTTATTTCTTATTTAAAATTCAAAGGAAGCAGCTGTTATAAATGGAGGAGGCTGCATACATTAAAATGTATCCTTCTTTGTATTCATAACAAAGAAAAATGCTTGAATATTTAGAACATATCATTGACTAATAATGAGTAGGATAATAGATATAAGAAGATGTGGTATAAATGGCAATGAGACAACTCTCCATCCAAGTCACAATTTCTAAAATCAAACCATCTAATATAGGTCAAAGTATGGTCTTCAACACGGAGCCTTGGTTCACACCGAACAGCAAGCTGTACAGGGCCCCATAAATTATATATATACATGATAATACATGTATATATATTACAAAGAAAATTGAGTAAATTGAAGTCGTATCGAAGAATATAAAAAATAAACCCTGCTAATATAGCTATAGCCAAATATAAATATACTTCCAAAGTAAGCTCTCGTTTGAGGATTGTGTAAGGTTGGTTAGATCCAAACAAACTACCTTATTGCAATAAAATGAAGATGTTTTTTTATTAAAATTATGTTCTCTACATTTAAATTGCAACCGAAGTATCTTAAAATTACTTCATTATATTGAAATGAAATCGGAAAGGTTTGCGTTATTTCGCAAATGTTTGCGCTATATCGCAAACATAGGAAGATATATTAAAAAAAAAAGTTGTGTGGCGCTATTTAGCTTCCGTACATTTAATTGGTTTAAACACGTATATTTAATTGCATTACCAATTCTCGAGAAGAATGTTAAAATAATATTGTAATAGATATGGACTTGCAATACAAGAATTGAACCTCAGGTGTATTTGTATGCACGTTACCAATGATTGACTCTATTGTGATAGTTGCCTCGTGTAATAATCAGGGTAAGGTAATGTCAAATCAAGATGCTGGAATTGTTACACTACGGAGGCAACATAACTAATAAGACAACATTATTAGACTTATAATGTTAATACGATGGTAAAAATTTATTTAATCAATGATATAAAATCAAATAGACCTCATATGAAAGACACACATTCTTAATCTGTCTATTAAGAAAAAAATCATATCAGAATCACATGTCTATCTGCTATGCATGAAGGTCGTGTTGTTTGGTAATTAGATAGCGTTCAGTTTTAACAAAACGGACGAGATGTTGATTAATGATTTATTCATTATTTATCATTTTCAGCTGATCTTTTAATATTTAATTCTGGTGTATATTGTACATATACCATAAAAGGCCGGATCTATTACCACAAAACATTTTCATTTTTCAATTCTGATATGAAACTAAGCTGTAAAATGGCAGTAAGGAAGTAGTTGCTCCACTCAGCTTCATTTGGATCATGTTTGATAGTTGTCAAAAATAATACACCACCGTATAATATATTAGTATTTAAAAAAACAATAATTGTACGGCTGTAATACCCGTGAATAGAGTCACATTCCAACATCAACCTATATCTAAATTAAAATTTCATTGATCTGTTTAATACAAACAAAGATAGATAATGAGGAGATCCTCGTTATCAAGGTAAATAAATTAGAAATTAATACAAAAATGGCAGGTAATGTATAATTATTTATACATTTATATTCTTCATTTTTTATTTCAAACTACTTCAAATTCAGTTCTTTTACAGTTTCAATTAAATTCAGTTAAAACTAGTTTTCAATATAAAAACAAATTGGTGATATGATAAGTCTATGATATGAATCGAATTTTAGTTGGTTGATAAAAGTGGGCGTTTGATTACTTGAATTGTCTTCTCATCGTGATACTTTTATTGTATCTGATGTACAATTTACAAAATATTCCGTTTAAAAAAATTTCGAATAAAACAATGGGTGATATGATTAGTATACAATATTAATTGAGTCTAACGTGGTTGATACAAGTGGGCGTATGGTTACTTGTATCGCCAGCTCATTGTGATACTTTTATTGTATCTTTTGTACAGTTAGTTCGAACGGAAAATCACAAAATAAATGCATTTGAAGATGTTTGAAATCATATCAGTGAATAGATATATATTATTTATATGTTTTTAAAACAATCATTTAGATATTCTATATTTCTTTTCTTTATTTGCAACAATATCCTCATAAGTAAATGTTTTAGATTTTATTTACTTATTATTTAATTGAATACAGATTTATCTATTGTTTATATACATACCTACATTTTCATTTCAAAACAAACACTTTTACATTTTTATAGAATCAGCTAAACAAAATCAATCAATGATTCTGTACGATTATCTATGTCAGAATATTGTCGGAACAGAAGAGCATGTAAAAATAATCAGAATGACAAACGCTGTCAGAGACAATCTACAAAGCGACAAAATTGCAACAGTAATCACTAGTGGAAGTTTTGGTGATGGACTTGAGATGCAAGGTAGTGATGTAGATGTTATGCAGGTTATGAAAGATGTTGAGGTTTGTGAAGACACAAACATTGATGTCAACATGTTCAATGCTGAGAAATATATCTAACCATGGAAACGGAAGATACAAAGCCAGGTTTCACTAAGTTACGTATAGTGCACAGTAATGACGAGAGTATCTTTGAAATTTGTAAAGAGACAGGAGGCGAATATTATGTGCTAAGCTCTTTATTCAAACACTTATTCGTGTCATATTCAAACAAAATATTTCCGATTATACTTGGACCATGTCTATCAGACAAAGATGGTTTATTTGACTTTGCATACTGTTTACATAGTAAAGTATGGGTGAAAGAAGCAAAACGATGGAAAACACGATCAAAAAATGTCTGGCCAGGATACGATGTTAAACATGCTATTGTTAAACACGGGGTTCTTTTTGTACCGGTTGGTGTGAAAGAATCTAAAAACGAAGAGTTAGAATGGCGCTTATCATTTTATGTTGCAGAAAAACTTCTTATTTTTCATTTACACACACACAATTGCTATGTTATGCTCTTTTGAAAATTGTTCTCAAAGACGTTATAGCTTTAGACGTATATTGCAAAGAATTACTTTGTTCATATTTCATGAAAACAATTATGTTTTGGATGTCGGAGGAACTACCATTATCAATATGGAAGCCAGAAAACCTGATATCATGTTTTATGAGATGTTTCAGAAGGCTTATCTATTATGTAGAATACTCGGTTTGTCCGCATTATATCATTCCTGAGAATAATTTATTTGAGAATAAGATAAAAGACCACGCACAGGAAATGCTTTTTAACAAATTGATTTGTCTTAATAATTATGGTTGGCAATGTATCTTAAAATCAGACCAAATCTCGATTAACAATGAACCACGTTGTTTACATGTCTACAGTGTTAAACACTTATTATCTCCGGTTATTGATGCGGCAGCCAATTTACTGTCAAAACGTAAATTACGAATGGAAAAAGCCATACATTTGGTACTGTCTATGAAGAGTTCCAAAATCAAATACCTTTACACGCACTACATATCAAAATATTGTCTGAATGGTCACAACTTACTCCCGTTTGATGATATATACGGTAATAAATCTACTTATAAGCAATGCAAAACATATACGTGTACTCTGCTACTGAATACACGTCATGATGCTGTATCTGGATGGCTGTTGATAGCTTCGCTTTTCTATAGGACAAAACAACACAATAAAGCTCTTGTCATCCTTCGGTATTCGCTGTTCAAATGTACAACAGAAAAAATTTACACAGACATGAATTTGTCTCATGTTAATTTTGAACTATTCAATTTGAATGTATTTAGGAAGATGCCAATCGTGCAGATGGAGAAATTGTTGTTGCTAAATCATGTGGATTTTTTTCCTCGCTCGACGTTAATACCGGGTGAATTACAAATGGAAGTAGACAGATCTAACTTTTGTATACCCCCAGTTATATATGTTCATTTCCTTTCTGTTCTATGTCATTGGCATCTGAACAATACAAAAGATTGTTTTGATTCTCTCAAAGATTTACAGTTGACCGTACGAAAGGAATATTGAATGGCGAATGACTTTCAAAAAGCTATATCTTACAATATCCTAGGTATCGCTTTTCAATTAGTAGGAAACAAAGAATCAGCGAGAATAGCATTCACACATTCTATGAAATTAACATCAGATCCAGATTTAAATAGTGCGTCAAAGAGATTGGCATTGATTGGATAAACGTATGTATGATAATGTCTACAGAGTAAAATTTCTTTTTTCAAGTGATTGTCAAGTTTTATTAAATCATTCTGCTTGTTTAATTTCAGTTTTATATTATCATATTTACAATTATTGGTATTTTTTCTTCTATTCGTCTCTAACATACTGGTAAGGAAAACAAATAATACTATGTTGAGTTTATATGTATCAAAGTGTCTTGAAGATTCGTCAGTTGGAATGAATGGACATAACAAATCTGAACCAACGTTATTTCAGATAGTTGGACACTACAATTCGTCAGTAAATGAAAGAAAGCCAACGCCGTGAAGAAAAGAAAAAACAAAATAAAACGGCAAATAAGAAGAATAAACACTCGTATATTGCCGTTCCCTATTACTTTGCATTACAGATTTCAAAGTCGTATTAATTTGGTATGGGAGTTAAACAAGAAATGTTCGAATTTTTTCCTAATTTGCCAAGTTGTAGTATATGTTGTGAAAAATTCACAAATATAATAAAATTATAGGTCATTGTACTTTTCTTTCAAGTCAGAGGTTGTGAAAAATATCCCATTTTGTAAGGATTATACAGGGAAAATGTATTATAATGAAAATAGAAGGTAAACTTTGTGATAGAATTTTGAAAAAAAATATGAGAACATACCTCTAATGAAATGCTTTCAGAATACTAAAAGAGAAAATTGGTTCTCCGTACGTTTTTTTTTCTTCCTTTTTATAGCATGAAATACTACCAATTCCTGTAAAAAGTAAAATCACAAAAATACCGAACTCCGAGGAAAATTCAATCGGAAAGTCCCTAATCACATGGAAAAATCAAATGACAAAACACATCAAACGAATGGACAACAACTGTCATATTCCTGACTTGGTACAGACATTTTCAAATGTAGAAAATAGTGGAATAAACCTGGTTTTATAGCGCTAAACCTCTCACTTGTACGACAGTCTCATCACATTCCGTTATATTTACAACGATGCGTGAACAAAAAAGACATTATAAATAAAATAGTCAAAATATGGATACAGCAGTCATCACTGTGTTACAATATCAAAACAAACAATTATTTTCAAAAAAGCATTAAAGCATCTATCAAATTAAAAACCATATGCATTGCTTCGCGTGTCTGACGTCAGCAAATGTAAACGTCACATAAGAAGAAATTTTGTCATTCAATGTTTATTCAAAACAATTTTATAATTTCACATGGGGAATGTTGGTATACAGGGTTAAAAAATCTAAAGTTATGTTAGAATTAATTTCAGAAATAGACCGAGATTTAAAATTGTCCAGCAGTTCTTTAGAATTTTTAAGAATCCACATACGCGAGTAAAATAAATTTGTTGTTATATTTTTTTCGTTTATAAATCACACATGAGCAACATGCTTTATACGCAAATTAAAATAAAAACATGAAGTCTCCTTTTTATATGCGAGTTCGTGGTCTAGTGGTTAAGACCGATGGCTACAGTGCTGAAGGTCCCGAGTTCAATTCTGACTCGGGGTGCTAACAATATCAGTGCATCAGTTTTCACCCTCTCACACACATCTCTGGTACCCAGACCTGAGTTTAAACTAGAATGGGTACTTTGGGGCCTCGGTTGGTCAAAGTTGCTCCCGACTTTGACCTGGAGATCAATCTGCTGATATCTCTTCGGTTTGTCTGTTCCCGCCGAGCAGCCCGGTGGTTCTCGCCGAGTAATTCGGCTTCCTCCACCATAATAATGGATTCCGCCCGGTGTCCTAACATACCCTCGTGTTGGGGTGGGGATTGTCTTGTGTTTTTTCATGAATTTTGTTATCCATTTATCTGACGGCCCAATTTTAAGATTGAAAAGCGTTTTCCTTCAATTTTTTTCACAATTTCTATAACAAATCTTTTCAAGCTATGGCGAGATAAGGGAAGACCACGAACTGCCATATACTCAATATAATGTATCAAGCTTTCTTCTTCGGAAACGGTAAGTTCATTTGTAGGTCCAAAAGAAGGGGGTGGATCTCTACCAACATAACGTCCACGCAAGTGGTCATGTAAAGATGCATACAGGATGCCCGTTTGTTTTGAAACTTTCAAAAGGGACATGCCATCTTTAAGAAGAGACTTGGCGAATTTACATTTTTCAGTGGTTCGAAGTTTTTGGTCTCTTGGCATCTTCCTACAATGTTAATAATTTATTAAGCGTATGTCAAATTGACGACTTTCTTTCTTATTTTATTTTATTAAATTACAATTATATATATATTATTTTCTAATCTTTTGATTTCAATGTATGCTTAATTTCATTTTGACACGTGAAACACACAAACCAGAATTCAGATAAAAGGACAAGCAAGTTTACCCAAAATGTATTGTTTACATAACAATGGCGACGGTCAAGTGATAAATCTGAATGGGCTCGAGTGGGACAAAAGTGATGTAATGCCCTGGATTGAATATTACGGTAGGAATCACATCATTGGAATTCTGAATAATTTTATAATTGATCCATGCTACATATAACTAGTAAATATTTGCTTAAAGATTTTTTTACACTTGATTCCAAGAGCGATCTTTCCAACTTCGATTTACCATTGTCGATTTATCGCCTGCTACTAAATTCACGTGAAGTTAGGAGCATGCGAAATGCACATTTCCTGTAACGCGTCTTTGAAGGTATAAAAAACAACAACTGTTTTAATTCAAAAGTGTTTTATTTTCATAAACAAATAGTTTTGTAGCTGGTTATCGAGCACTGGTCGTTATCGAGCACTGGTCAGGGGAGTTTAAATATTGTTGTAAATACGTTAGTGACACATTTCCATTAATTCTGATAGGGAGTGTACATGCATTCCACTGTACCCTCCTAGCTATCGAAGGGTGATCTGTAAACGAAGGGCCTACGTACATACATACATTCTACCTTTATAAAAGTTTAAGTAATTTTAACATGTTTAAGATATAATCACTTTCATTTAAATGTTAATTCTTATCCGCGTAAATTGCGTTCTTTTCAAGATGGCAGAAGACTATTATACTAGCTTTATCTACATGTACTCCAGTTTGATTTAATATAAAGTATGATTTAGTGATGATTTCATTTAGGAAAATATGGAAAACTAATCGCTGGTATTGTTTTAGTGTACCTTTACCATGGTCATCAATAAACAATATATTTTTAGGAGACATCAGTACTAGACATATACAGCTAATGATAAAAAAGAAATGTTGACCGGCTTTTTCATGTCTTGCCAAGAAGATTTCGTAGAGAAATACCAACCTGAAGTCAAATATCACGTTCAATGATTGGTTTCAAAGACTGATTTTAGATGAATACATTCCATTTGTATGTTTAGAATATTTCATATTGCTTGTAGTTTAAACGTTTGGGTGGCTTGCTTGCTTTGTTTTATAAATGTTTGCATTGTAATGACGATTGACATTTGCAATGAATAGATAGGCGGGGCTTCAGTTTTTATACATTATACTTAAATATTATCGGATCATGTTAAGTATAATGCAGAGTTTAATAAAATAAAGAATGGAAACGGGGAATGTGTCAAAAAGAGACAACAACCCGACCAAAGAGTAAAAAAAAACAACCGAAGGCCACCAATGGGTCTTCAACATAGCGAGAAAATTCCGCACCCGGAGGCTGACTTCACCTGGTCTCAAACAAAAATGTGTACTAGTTCAGTGAAAATGGACGTTATACTAAACTCATAAACATATAAATGAAATAAAATTTAAAACAAAACAAAACAAGACACACACACACATAAGACAAACAAGCCAAGATGCTCCTGACTTGAGACAGGCGTAAAATGCGTAAAAAAGGGTTAAACATGTTTAGTGAAATCTCAAACCTCCCCTTTACCTTTAGCCAATATAAACAAAGTGAGGCCCCGCCTATATATTGATTGCAGATGTCAATCTTAATTACAATGTTTGAGCAAACATTTATACAAACAAAGCAAGCAAGCCACCCAAACATGTACACAAACATAGCAAGCAAGCAAGTCAACTAAACCCTGAGGCTACATGCATTAGTATAATAGCTCTAATAAAAGCCAATTAATATGTGCTTTCTGTTATATCTCAATCAGGAAATGACGAGATGAGTAAAACACAAATGGTATTGTAAGCTATAGAAGACCAAATGATGACAATTCAAAACAGAACAAAATTAAACGATAGATTTATACTACCTAAACAAACTATAAAAACGAGGTTGCAACGCCGAAGAGAAATGTCACTCGCCTCTATGGTGATTAAAAATGTGTCACGTACAAAGTGTAATTGTGCTACAATAGTTAAAATATGGTCAATGTGTCATAACCCGCACGAATAAACTTATCGAAATGACGTAAAATTATGGTAATCTGCATATGATGTCAAACAGTCCTATCAAGTATAAGAATTATCTATCAAATAGTTTCAAAGAAGTTGCGTTCACAATGTTTCATTGTGGTACAAGAGTATAAACCGTCAAAATCCTGTATCTACCGTTGAAACTGTCAACTCAAACTTACGATAAAATATTGTCTACTACAATTGGTTGTGAACAATCCTGTCGCGCATAGGAGCTATAAAACCAAAAAAAGTCAAAGTGCCAACACTCCTTTAGGAAAAAAGTGGAATCGAAATGGCGGTATTTGGTATTTTCGGATCAAGTATATATTGTAGAATACGTAATTGTAGTTCCATTGGATTTTGTATCTTCATAGTAGGTAAATTGGTTCTTGTATATATAAAAGAGGTTTTTTTCAGTTATTTGGTTTTCCTTTTTTTTTTAAACAATTGTAGTGAATTGTATGCAATTAACAAGTTGAAAAGATTAAATGCATGGTCGACAGGTCAGCAGGTTGACAGGTCAGCAGGTCAACCTGCTGAACTGTCGACATGTAGACCTGCTTACTCAATAATAATAATTGTTAGAGACAACATTTTTATATTCTGACTTGTCGACTTGTTGCCTTGTAGAGTTAGGGTTAGTTTTGGGGGTATGATTAGAGTTCGAATTAGAGCCTTGGGTGCATTGAGCCATAGCCGTGACTTTTTTGTCACCACGAAAGCGACTGAAAAGGAAAACAAATCAGTTCAGGTATAAAACAAAATACTTTGAGTCTTTTTTCACTATTTCTGAAATTAAAAAAAGCGCATTACTGACAAGCCTAAAAAACGGGCAAATTAAAATACCCTAAGTTTGTAATTTATCATTATAACAGTGTAGGTGCGTTTGAATTACAGTAGATTAAAAATGGCCGAATCATATGCAAATCTATTCTTTTTTATATAAGTGCCTCTACCCCTTGGCATCCCGAGCGACACTTACTATTTTGATGAAAAAAATAGTTTTAAACCTAATAATTTTCAAAAAAGAGCTGGCATTTGGTAAAATCCCATGATAGGAATTCATTTCTTTATAAATCATACGGGGACAAATCGTCAAAAGTAGTTTTTTATCCAGAAACTTGCAAATAAAGCCTCAAAATCTGCAACACGAAAACCTAGGGAAAGGTGTTTGAGAAAACAGACCACTGAAAACGTCTGCTGATGCTTGCTGGGTTAAGATCATGAATCGGTTTCTTCCGTGCAATACATTAATTGGTACTAACAATTCTAGGTTTAATAACAAAATCCCCTCACCATGTCCATGTGTCGCCT